AGGATGAGATGAGTGTAGCAGATGGTGTGTCAACAGGATTACAATAACTTAAAGTGCTGCCAGCTAAGGTGGACGTGACAATGTCCGACTCTGCTTTTGGACGGTGGATCCAGTGCTATTTGAAATTCTTTAGCACCTGCTGCCACCAGGCTGGCCAAAATCACACTCCTTTGCTTCCTGTGCTGCCACTGTAAGACAGACCCACTTTGATGTTATTTTGTATTTTTTTATGTAATTGCTTAAGGTCAGTCAGGCAGGGAACTGTCCTGGCTCCACAAAGCATAATGGAGAGCACACTGTGTTCTCGATGCACCACTGGACACTTTTCCAAGGTAATGCAAAGACCTTCTTGGTGCCAGCTAACTTTTAACATCATAGTGCTGCCTTAAAGTCATAAAGACTGGTGCCTGGGATAGATTATCCTCTTTGAAATCAAAGGAAATCGAACCTACAGTCTCAGAAGGACTCAAAGCCAAATGATTTAGGGTTACATGTATTGTTAAGCTGGAATTATTCAAGCCACATGAGGATATAGATTTAATTTCATTCAACCAAGAAGTTTGTCTCTGATAGGAAATGAGACAAAGCTTTAAAAAAGGATAATACATTAATGTAAAGGGTGATGGGCTGGTGGCCTGTCCAGGTGTATCCCACCTCTTGCCTAATGACCCCTGGAGATAGATACCAAGCTCCCAGTGACCATGAAAGGAGGGTATGCTGGTATAGCCAATAATTGGATAGATGTAAAGGGAGAATCATCAAATCTCATTGAATGTAAGTATATTGAAAAAAATATGTATGTCTTTCTTAATGATTTGTGGAAAAATCCTAATCTGCATCACATTAGTCTGTTTTTTAATCACTGTCTACCTTGTTGAATGCCTCCACATATATTTTGAGGATTTGCCTTTGGTAATGACTTCCAAATCTTTGAGGATGGAAAGGCTCCTTGCCATCACCCTGATGTTTTACTCTATCCATATTCTCTGCCAGGTTCAAGTCAGGACTCTGATTGGTTCACAAAATATTATTGTTACATCCAGTGAGCAGAAACATTTTAGCAAAAAGATTACTATAGATCTAAGTCGGTCAGAGGTATGGATGGTCTCTGCCTGAACAGTGTGAAAAGAACTTGGGATTGAATTAACTATGAAGTCAAACCACATTTAGATTCTGGTTTAATATTCTTGAAGAACTAAGTCTTAAGTCGCTAACCTTTCAAAGGTATCCACCACAAAGTCCAATACACACCGTCTGTGCGGCAGCTGTCAAGGCATAAACTGAGTTCCTCTATGAAGAAAAATCACTCAGACAGGCTTTTCATTTTCTCTTTGTCTCAGTTAATAGTTTGTGGTAAGATAAGGTCCTTGGAGGAAACTTGTAAAAAAGTCTCATTCTTTACCCTTCTTTTTATGCTTTCCATTTCTCTTGCAGGGGAAGTAAAGTAGCAGCTTCTACACCTGTAAACCATAATGACCTTCAGCCATTTCTCCAAGTGACTATCAAGGTAAAACAAAACAGACAGGTCTATATAGTCTTGGAAATATATACAAAATGAATCACTTGACACCAAGCGGAGCTTTTTGAAAAAAGAAAAATGCCAATAAGAATTTTTTTTTCTTTTTTTGTTTTATCCAAGCCGGTATACAGTTAGACTCGTCAGGCATCAGATGTATTATTCTACACAAAACAGACATTTTGGCTTCATCTTTATTCTGTTGGTGAAACCACAAAAGAGCATTTCTACAGCCTTACTGACAATAGGACCACCTTAGATTCCAACAAGCATTAAATACGTCAAACATATAGATACATAAATCTGTCAACAATGACATTCAAAAAATTATTAACGATATCATCAGAAATTGTAGAAATGTCTTTGATGATTTCTGATTTCAGAGTCATCTGCTAGCATTGAACAACCAAAAGTTGACAATAATTTAAGAGGGTTATTTTGAATTTCAGAGGACAATATGCCAGTAAACCTAATGACCTTATATTTCATACTTCAAAGTATGAAACATAACACATTGTTCCAACTGGCTTTCAAATGAGTTATGCAATTTTAAAATTCATCTTCCTGACATAGAAAAGTATCTTGAGTTGCTCCCTGAAAATCTAATATATACTTCCATCTAATGATGATGTGGCAGAGGAAATAATATAACCTGGACATCTTTCACACTAATCATAGAGCAGAACATTTTCTTGATAAAAACATTCCTCTTTTACTAGAAAAATATAAAATGGATTTGTGGCAGACTGGACGGCTCTGCGAAGGCTCTGGATCCTGTGCAGGATGTACTCTGCTTCTCACCCAATGACTGCTGGAGACAGACACGAGCCGCCCGCAATCCTGAAATGATAAGCGGGTTTAGATAATGGATGCCTGATCAATGTGTTATTCATTGATAGTCGAGTTCTGCATTCTAAGCGCAGTCTCATCCTCTCCTGCCACTTTCAACTTTGTTGATAGTTGCTTCCATTCTTGCATATGTCTGAATGTTGCACAGAGAGTTTTTTTTATAAGTGTGAAGAGCTAAGTCTACAAGTCATTCATGACAACACTATACCTTTGTTGTGTCCTTAGTGCTTGAACTTTTTTAAAATTATTTTTATTTTAGTTGCTCTGCTTTTTAAATGTAAATCTTCTTGCCTTTTGAGTTTTCCTTGCAGTATAAATCTACTGCAAAGTAGTGCGCTCTGCGCAGACCAAAACCATTCCACCTCCTTGCAGATTAAGGCAGAGAGATCCACGCAACTTACTAACACTTTTCTTGACACTGCACTGATTTGAAAACTGATGCAAGCGATGAATCTGAAGTGAGGTGCAACTTTTTTCTGTAAAAAGAAGCAAATAATACCAAGATAAAAAGAGTAAAAAGTATGGGAGAGGAGAAAGGAGGAGGGCGGTAAAGGGAAAAATTTAAGCTACAGAGCTTACTGGCATTATGCAACCACAAAGATGGAGATAAAATTGAGAGTGGGAAAGGTAGGACAGTTTTTCTTTTACATAAGTAAAAAAAAGATATAAGCAAAAAGAATTGGCAGATCCCAAAAAAATTAAACTGAAAGATTTTTATATTTTTTTCATAAAGTAGGGTAGAGGAGAGAGGTTTTCTAGAGACTCTCTGGCAAAGCAAGGTCAAACACATTAAGGCCTTACAAACAGAAAGACAACACTTTGCCAAAAATAAATGTCATGGAAAAAATTGCGATCCCATGTGACAACGGCGGACTTATGGGTTGGTGTGTGAGAGTGTGTGTGTGTGCGTGTCTGCTCTCAATCACAGGCCTGCAGCCAGCCTCCCAATATGGAGCCAGCCCATAGCCCAGAAAGATCAGGTAATTTGACGGATCGTGCCACTCAGGCTGGTGATGCTTGCAGCTCTCCCCAGCTAGGGATTGTTTCCCCAAGCTTGTTTGGCCGGCCTGGCATGCCGACAGAAGATGAATAGCAGCTTCTTTTCCCACCCTGTCTGTCTCTGATCTGTCCTCGCTGTTCGAAGGTCAGCCAGCCAAAGAGTTGCAAAGAATGGGAATGTGGGCTTGGGATTGCTGCTTGTCTGACTTAAGAAGGGAGAAAAAGGCAGAGGCAGGGGGGGGAGACATAGAGCTGTGTGTGTATGTGCGTGTTAGTGAGTGTGTATAGGGGGGAGAAGACAGATGTCAGGTAATCTACAAGGCAGGTACATGACTTGGGTCTGAGCAGGTCTGCGTATGCCCTCTGTTTGTCCTGTGGGTTTTCAGCAAGTGTGTGGGTTTTTTGGTGTGCAAAGAAGGAAGAAAAGGGCAAGATACATCAAACGAAATCAGTTTGAGGCTGCCAAAATTCAGTTCAGCCCACCTGCAGGTCAGTGTGTAGGTCTTTTTTTCTGTTTACCTCTGCTTTATTGGAAAAAAAAAACAAAAAAAAAAAACAAGGCTATTTCTTGTGTAAAAATCCACTGACCTTAATTCACGACCTAAAGGAACACATACTGTATATTGATTTTATTTCAGCAGGTTTTTCAGTCTGTAGCAGAAAGCTTGTTTTTTAAAGAGTTTATGATAGCTGGGATGGCAAAAAACAATTCTCAAACAGAGGTATTCTCCACAAATAAGCCCCTGAACTAAATCATCACAGAGAAGGAGGGAGATGCTGGGATGGAGATGAGGGTAGTTGTAGACATCCAGCATTGAGCTTTTACTTCGAAAAAGTTATTTCCAAAAGAGGTTTATTGCATAGTATGAGAATAATCATGGCGTAAATAAAATTTTTAAATAAGCTGAAAATTGCAAATCCCATGTTGACACTTAAATTTTTATTTAAAATAAAAACAGATAAATAGGTGAACTAAAAAAAAAAAGTCAATCTTGATTTTAGCATTCAAAAATACTAATAAAAAAGAAAATATCCAGTGATATTTCTCAGCTTCTGTATACAGTCTAATATTGATCAGCACTGTAAAGGAAGTAGAAGCAGAAGCAGAGCTCAGTGATAGCTGGACCTGAATTATAAAATCCCTTCAGACTTGATTTAAACCAGTTGTCTCAAATTCTGGTCAACTTGAATATGATGATATAGTCTTGTTCCAGTCTTAGAGCAGGGATACATCTAAAGTCAAGTCTGAAGGCTCAAAACTTGACTTAGGCTTGTAGTCTGTTATCAAACCTTGTTCCATGAGTGAAAGGAAGTAGAGCTAAAATCATTGTGAAAGGACAATAAACTCAAAGTTCCATAAAATAATTTGGGTTAATTTCAGAACAAAACATTTTTTAATTTGTTGGTGACATCTTGCTCTCTTCCTGTTAAGATACTTGCATCATTACAAAGAGTCTTGTTGCTTATCAAAATAAAAGCACCTCTGTTCAGTTTATTTAGAAACTCAAAGTTTTTCTTTGTCCTTCACACCAGAATGTTTTTTTTTTTAAACGTGTGGCATGTTGGTGCAGGTTCACCTTTAAGATGAGCGGTGGGTGGCACCAACGTAGTCTTTAAAGCCAGGTGCGCACCGTGCGTGCGCATACAATTTCCACGTGGCCTTGTGGTGACCACGTGCTATGAGCTCCCACAATGTCTCGTTTGGGGTTGTGTCTTCTCGAAACGTTGCGAATCCCACCATCGTATCCAGGTTAGTTTTGTGGTCTTAATTTGTCTGGCTTTTAGACTGGCTCTTTGTAATCGGGCCTGTGTTTGGTTCAGAGTCGCGGTTAGGTTGTGTGATCTCGCGCCTGTTACGCAGGGTGTGCGTGTGCTCAGTCACGCGTCGTGGGCTCGGGGTTTTCACGGGCTAAGCGACTTCAATGTCCAACTTGTTTTAGGCTTAGTGCCATGACTGACATTACATTTTGGCTTTAGATCCCGGGTTGTTGCGGCCTTGGCCGTGAATCTTCCGCGGCTCTCTTCCTCTTCCTGAGGCCTCCGGGTGCACGCGCCTGACCTGCAGGTACCTGGCGCGTGGCAGATGAGTCCTTTAGTAATTTTGCTGCTCGTCATTTTTCTTTGCATGCAGATTGTTTGTCATTTACGTTCATGTTTTGTTGATTTGATTATTTTTACATGTTTGTCTTTTTTGTTATTTCTCTTTCAGTGCTTTATTCCTGTAATTGCATTAATATTTTTTGTTTAGTTATTGAGTTTGAAGATACCATTTACTGTTGAAGGGGTAATGTGCAATATATGCTTTGTATCTGGTGTAGTCTGTAATTTTGTCTATGTACAGGCTCTATTTTGTTATAGGCCTATTTTTAGCTTTTGAGGAAATGCATTACTATTTTGAAAATTAATGTTTCTCCTTTCTTTATTGTCCTGATCTGGTACAGCCTTTTTTCAAAGTTTGGGAAGCTGAATAGACCTGTTGGTCATGGTTTTTCACAATTTAAGTGTCTGACACAGCTCATGTCACAAATGACAAGACTTGATAAGCATCATGACATAATAATGTCGATGCTTTTGCATATCCAAAGTTGGTCTCAAAATCTAAGAGTTTACTACATTCTAGGTGGCAGTAGAGAGACTGTAGTGACACAGTTGGTATAGCGGACTGATAACGATCATTTTAGCTTCACTTTAGAACATGAATGTTCTTTGATTGGACAAAAGAAATTGTCTTTTCTAAAAGTCTGTTAACCCTTAAGGCACATCATTAAAAAAATCATTTTGATTCTTCTTGCATTTTAAAATGTAAGAGGTCATTTGTGAATGCATCTGTTTAATTAGGCCTGATGAAAAAAAATATGAAAAATTTGATTTTATGTACTTTTTTGTCCTCGGAGACAATTCAATTCACATGGTTTAAATTTATAACCTACAGCAATGCAGTGTTAATTTTACTAATGAGACTTGACTCGAGCTTGTTAGCCATGCACAGAAAAACATTCTTCAAAGATGGGGAGGATGATGCTGTGATGGAGGAAGTTCAGCATGCACATGACTGCCACAGAGAACAGCAGAGAACACAGCAGTTCTTAGAAACGGCTTCCAAAACAGTTTGTCAAACTGTGAAAATACTAAATAAGAATAAGGTGTAATTATGTCAACATGTTAGAAGAAACTGAAGATGGCAGATGCTGTCTTAACACTTGAATGTTTATTTGCAAAAGTGGTAAACTGTCAAAGAAAGCTGGCCCTCAGCAGGGTAGGGGATTTGCGGATAAGTGTGGAAAATAATGTTACGATTTTTTTTTTTATCAAAAAAAGCAAAAATCAAATAAAGGTATGATTTTGACTTTTTTCTTTTTCTTCTAAATCCCATTGTCTTGCATGCTGCCTATTCCTCTTCAGGGTCATAAAGCCTACTGTCTTGTCTCGTAGCCAGTGTACATGATGAGTCCCTCGTTTCCCTAACTGGTAGTAATGGGATTTGGTTTTCAACAAAGCACAAACGTTCGAAAGCGTGCAAACGGAACCAGTTCAGGAACTAAAGTTATTTCAGTGGAAAAATGCCTTCAGTTAATTTTGTTTCTGCGTCTCTAAAGCACATGGTACATACCCCACTGCATTTTTTCAGATATTTTCACAACCACAAACTTCAGAAAAAGTTGCTCAGATTTTATGAGTTGGAGCCTCACAACGTAGCTTCACAGTTGATTAGAATAATTTTTTTTTAAATCTTTGAAAGTTGTGATACATTAATATGAAAGCTGTTGTCAATTTTGTCTCTTTTTTAAATGTATTCCAGACATTAAAATAAAAGTCACACGTTTAAAAAAAATAACAAAGGATTGATAGGTGTTCTTTGTAGAGACGTATAAATCAATTTTATTTTCTTTCATTGAAAGAAACGAAAAGATTTTCTGTCTCACGGATTCCAAGCAAAGTCGCCGCTGAATCAGAAGGAGCTTCCTTAGAACACCCAAAAAGCCCCAGCATTTATACTTTAAGACAGATGAAACAATTTTATCTGAATATAGTTTTCTTATTAAATCTTGTTAGGGGATGTGCATCCAAAAGTAAGAACATACCATGGTGTCTTTCATCAAATATTGATACTTTCTTCTACATATTTTTCCTGTTTTGGTCTTGAATGCAGTTGGAGAAGTTTTGTATGATTATCCAACAGTCTGACATAAACATGGTGCATAAAATTGTTCCCTTGCACATGATTGTAGGTTTATTTTTATGTGCACTGCCTGATTCAAATCTATTCGGAGCATTCCAATAGGATTCAAATTTGGGCTTTGACTCTGTGACTCCCTCGCCCAAGCACTCCTTGATATCATGCATAATTCATTTGCACCTCGTTGCTTCACAGTTGGTTCGAGATTCTTCTTGATCATATTTGATTCATCTGTCCACTGCACTTTATTACTTAAGGTCGGGTCTTTGCCTTAATGCTGATTCTCAAGCTCCAGTTCTGCTTAAAAATACATTTTCTAACATATCCAATAATGTCTCACTTGTACAGTTTAGATTTTTTTTAAGTAAGGTTTTGTGGAGTTATCAGTAATAGTTTCCTTGTTTCCAGCAGAAATGTATGTCATTGTAAAATTGTAGAGAAGTGAATCAACTTTTAGGAGAGATTAACAACATTTAGTCAGAAGAACTCCCCAATTTAGCTAAAGCTACATTGATTGACACTAGATGCAGCTGCTGGCTTCTTTTACCCTACAGCTCAGCGATTGTCTAAGTCCAGATTCTGGTGTGATTCTGGATCCAATCCAGATTACGTTTTATTTTTAGTGGGTACTCAGCTGAGGCTCAGCCAATACTAACTACAATGTTCAAATGAAAGCATTAGGTTTATGACACTTTTTTTTAATCCGTACATAATTAACTGTAACTGCTGAAAAAGGACATTGGGAAGCATAATACAATGAATAATGTTGAAACAAAAAGGTAGCAAGATAATGCGGATTAGTACCTCAGCAAACATCTAGTTAAGTAAAAGCATCCTCAGCAAAAGGAAGATGTTTGTTGAAGACATTTTGTCCTAAACATTATAAGAGCTGTATAAAACTCAGTGTTTTAGCAACTAACAAGTTTCGGACAAGCTGATGGATTTCATCCCGTCTGAGGATTTACTCTTCTGCAAACTTACAGCCTCACTACTTGTCTGTTAGTGGTAAGTTAACAGAAGCTTTCTTCAAAAAAAAAAAAATCTATGCCTTAAAGTAAGGTTGTTGGAGTCGGCAGTCCTGTAATTAATGCAAGTCATTTGAGATTTACAGCACATGTGGGCAGTGACATGCATGAACTGAAGTTCATGAAGTGGAAATGTTTATTTTGAACTTCAAACTGAAAGATTATTTTAAACTGTAGAACATGAACAGACCACAGCTCGTTCTTGCATCATTAAAAAAGAATAGCTGAACAAATCTAACTTTATAGGAAAAAAGCTTTTTTTTTCATGTTGCTCTTTTCTTACTCTAGCAACTTCCATTTTAATTATGTAGGAAGCTTTAGGTTGCTGCAGAGCTCTATCCTCCTATGTTCATATGGGGTCCATTGATAAAATCCTGTTTAGTCTCATGGTGCTGTGCTATTTTGTGCCAAGCATAATTTTGGTTTCATCAGACCATGAAAGTTTTCCTCAGGATACTTTGGGGGGGATTTTAGCCAGCTCATGCTTATTATTGGAAATTATTTTTTTGGTATCCTTACCACTTTGTTCAGATGTTGAATACTGAAGAATGGTTTTCACATGTAGAACACAACCAGTACTTACCAGATATTGCAGCAACACCTTCAACTTTACCGTCAGGCTCTTTGCAGCCTCCCTGACCAGCTTACATTTTGTCTTTACATCAGTTTTGGAGAAACTCTGTTTTTGTAATGTTGGTGTTGAATATTTTTTCTCCAATTGCTGATGAATATTTATTTATTAGCACCCTTCTTATTCATGCTTTTATTTTTTACATTAAGATAATTTTAAGCATTTGCAGCCTCTCTGTAAAATGTTTTTAGCTAAAGGATGTAAACAAGCAAACATTAGGAAAGCTGTATAAATGCAGATAAACTATTTATGATTAATCAGCCTCTCAAGTGTAGTGAACCCCTGGTATTAACAGGGTTTAGGGACCAAAGTCACCCATGGATAACTAAAATCCATGAACACTTGAGACTCCCTCTAAAGATGTTTGAAATTGTCTGTTTTAACAGGCAAAGGAGAGAAAATGGTGCTTCTATTGGCTGCTTTGTAAATGCCTTTTTTTTAACATCTTGAAATGATTAAGATTATTTGGCCGATTTGTGTGTAGGTGAACTTATTTGAACTAATTTTGAGATTTTTTTTAGGCATGGCCAATGCCATCTGATTATTTTAGCAATTTGCGCACCTCCATTCACTTCGTTGAACAAATAAATAAAACACCAGATGCTTAAAACAAATACTATTAGTTTGTACATGTAGGTGAGAAAAGGTCCACTAACAGAAAACGATGTAAAGTATGCTATAGTGAATTGTTGCATTGACTCAGTCTGTCAGTGCAATCTTAATAAATAATTTTAATAAATGAAATGAACCACATCAGACCAATATAGGTAACAGAATACAAATAAACAAATCAAAGGAAAACACCATCATTCCAGATGTACTGAAACAAGTTACATAGTTAAAACTATTCCTATATTGGACATATAACATAATCTTCTGGTTTGGATTTGATGCATGCTACTTAACTAATTTCAGTGTTTCAGTTTGCAATCTGCTAACTGAAAACAGAACTTCAAGTTTTGAACAGGAAATGGGCTTAAGGGGGGGAAACTGTGCTAAAGCGTTTTAGAAGTGTTAAAAGTGCATAATGTGACATTTCTGGGGCAGTTTTGCTCAGTTCAGTTTTCTCTCAGCCAAACAGCATTGGTAACACTGATATTTCTCCTTCTCCTGTCATTTTTATTCTTTTCCTCTGCATCACCTGTGGCTTGAAAACCGTCACCTCCGTATCATCTTTTGAAGCTATGATTGGACTTTCCACTCTGTGGCCATGCCGTGCTTCTTTTTACTCCCACTGTTTCTGTTTGGGAGAGCAGAAACCAAATGTGACTCGCAGTGAGAAACCCAAATGAAATGTCTGGCTGATATGTTTGAACACTGCCTTGTGTGTAGCTATTTAAATTTAACAAATTAGTTTCCATACCAAATCGGAGTGCAAAATAGCATTTTGTTCCAATATGTGCAGTCGCATATTTATTTTCCTCCTGTACCTGACATGTCATATTTTATTCTACATGGTGATAAGCTTGCTTTTGCCTGTTGCTGTTACTCCTTACACCCACATGTTCAGGTGCATCCCAGCTTTGTGCCATCATTGTTTGCATTATGTTTGTCAGTGTGCATATGTGAGCCTCGTGTGGACGTCACAAGATCATTTCGTTGGAGATGTGGCTGAGTAAGTGTAGCTCAGAAAATCAATTTTATGTTCCACCAGGGTAACATGATTCTCCAGAACATTTTTTTTATTTATTTCAGCTGGCTAACCTTTATTTCTGTTGCTCAAGCCTGTACATCATGCTGAGCTTTTTTTTTTTTCCCCCACTGACTAATGCAAGTAAAAATTGCAGTACATATGACTGCAGTGCTTTCTGTTCTACATAATTTGTTCGCTTTTTACACAATACTGCTCAGGCGCTTCTTTAATTAAAATGTGATTTTCCTTATACAACATTTGATTTGTCTGGGAATCGAGTTTATATAGCAAATGAATTGTTCTCCTATTTGGGGAGATGCGTAAAACACTTCTCTCTCTGAAATGCAGTCTCTTGCATTTCATTTACCAGTAATGAGAATTTAATGTTATTTTTTTTTTCCTGAGATGTGCAGTCCAAGGCCGAGCTTCTGCATTCCTCAACTTACCTCATCAACTCTCACTTCACCCCTGTCCCCCTTCACTCTTCATCTTAACTAACCTTCTCCTCTTCCTCCACACCTTGCTGTGCTGCTTTCTACCCCTGCATCTCCTTCTTCAATCTTTGCACTGTCAGTTTGTGGCTCTCGCCTCTCCTTCAGTCATTGATCACGGTGGCAATAGTGTGGTGTTTGCTAGTCTGGAAATGTGTGTCTCGGCGGGGAAGGAAAGGAGATCAAACATTTTAATTACGGCAGGCTTGTAGGTGGTGCTAGCTACAGGCTGCAGTCATGTAACAAGGACAGGTGGAAGAGAAATGCAGGGGTAAACATGGGACGCAACGACGCAAAAACCTTCTCAATCTTGGTACTCTTGAAAACCTGCATGGGACAGCCTCATAAATACCTTGACACGTGTGTGCTCATACATTGTGTTGACAT